CCACACTGTCATTGTCTGTGATATTTTTGAGCCTTTTAGCAAAAACACTTCTATTACTATCATCATCTTTATTTAGAACTTAAAATTTTATCTTTGTTATTTTTCTAATAATAGAAGTATATTTAATAGTTGGAAAAATATAGATGATAGAGAAATATAGACAGTTGAAAGTAAAATTATCTTGTTGAATTTCTAGAAAAAAATAACCATTTGTAGATTATTATATAACTTACAGATGCTTTTTTGTGTTTATATGCATGCAGTTATTAAACATTTTAATATTAAAGGAGTCATACTATAAATTATGCTATAAACTAATTTTTAAAAATCCTAAATATATTCCATGGGTATCTCTTATGCCCAGACATATACATCTATTTGTAAAAACTTGATTGATTTGCTATAATTTCTTAATCCTGTGTTGGCATATTTTATGTAGTTTTCGGTTTTTCACTATTATTTTATAAAAACTCAACAATGCACTCTGTTTCTATATTTGCTGGTAATTACAGGGCAAACAACCTGCTTTTAAAATAGGTAACAACAAGTTAGAAATACTGTATCTGTTGAGAAAAAAGCTCTAAGAAGAGAATGTTGATACGAGTCTTCATTCTGCTTTTCTTCTGAGGCATCAAAGTGTTATGTTGACATGTGGTGTTACCTACTTACTGAAGCTGATGGTTATATCTCTCCCCTTTACAGATGCCTGGTATAACCTGGGCTATGCCAACGCCTATAGCTGATACTGTGTCACCCAGTGCAAGTCTGTGCAGTGAACCTCTCATGATAAACTGGGAGAGGATTACAGACAGACTGAGAATGGCTTTTCCACAGCAAACAAGGTACTTTGACTTTTCCTTAGTGGTTACACTTGTTTTTTGTTGTTGTTGTTGTTTTACAATTTTCATAGCCCTAATTGTAGAAATGAAACACTTAACATATACCCATAAGTACAACTATTTTTTTTACCATGGTCTTAGTAAAATAAAATTGACTAAGAAAGCATAGTGCTCAACAGAAATGCTAGGTAAACTTAATTTTTTATTAGTCTTAAGGCATGAGAAGATAAGTGCTTAAATTTATTTTTACTCATTTGCTTGAAGTAGTAGCTATAAACTTACCCAATTTGAATGCTTCCAGCTATAATAATTACCGTAATAAAAAGTTATCAAATTTTCAATTAATTGTATGCTGAGCCCAATGTCATCAGGTTTCAATTTATTTTTTTATTTTATTGAGGTTCCTATGATTTATTTGTGAGTGAACACAGTTCAGTATAAGATATCACAATTGTTTTGGCTTTCACTGTCTGACTTTAGGAGAAGAAAAGTTAATTCTAAAATCTCTGCTCTTGTATGTGTGGAAATAAGTCTAATTTTACTTTGTATTTTCATTTGAAAGAATCATACCCTGTTATCTAATTAGGGTATGATTTTAATAAATTTCATAATTATAAATAGAAAAATATAATTATATAGTTATAGATAATTATAAAATTAATAAATCATAAACCAAAAGAAAGAAAAATCATCCTATTATAAGTATAAGTGGCAGTGGAGGATTAAAAAGGCAAATACTGATTAAAATAATTAGAAGTTAATTATTTTATCATGCAATGAATGTATCTTTTGCTTTCTTTACTTTTTTATTTAATCTATTTTTTCTCTGAGTTTTATGAAGGTAAAACATTTAAATACTACAAAACTGAGAAAATAATAGCAAAAGTTACTATTCAAATAGTTATTTTTAAAATTGTTACTAAAAAGGAATAGTTTAGTCCTGAATGAAATTTGAGATATAAAGTTCTTAATATGTAAATGAATCAACTCAGTTTTCACATAGTGAGTACTTTCATAAGCATAGTTAACTTTCACTGGTAAACACATTAAATATAGCTTTTGGACACAATTAGTAGTTTTTATTATGGTTTCAAATGCATGCAGGTAACATTTTTTAGATTCCAAACTACTGAGTTGAGTCTGTCTGCTGACTGTCATATGAGCAGGATTTTCAGTCTCACCTTTGAGGGCACTTCCTCTGCGGAGCAGGGAACACCAACCTTCTCTATTCTTCATCTCCTCCAGGAAGGAGCTTACAGATCTCTTACAGCAGCTCAAGGATTCTCATGGGAAGTCTGTGTCTCGACTTACATTTGATGAAATTGTTTATAAGATTTCTCAAATGATTGAGCCCAAGAAATCTGAGGTAAATCAAACAAAGCAATAAAGCAACTAACTTTAATTCTCTATTCTTGTTTCTGTAATAGTGCCATAACATGTTTAGAGAGTCAAGAATCAATAACATAATCATAGGACATCATTCATTAACAGTAAATAATCCTACATGTTCAACTTACAGATGACATGGGATTGTTTTAGATCAGAGTAGAATAAAACTGATCCCCTTTGAATTTTCTAAAGACTGCTTTGAACAATTCTGAATGCAAGTTTCTTTTTTCTAATTTTTTTCAAAGATTTATTTTATTTAAACTAATGCTTTATGTAACTCTAACAAATGTTACCAACACTTTATTTCAAGATTTATCATGAGTATTATTTATCCTTTTGGTAATTTTTGCTACATTTTATTTTATTCAGTCTGTCAGTTGATACTGTTTTAGGATAATTTTTAAAAATAAACATTATTTTTAGAGTGAAGGAAAATCTGCTCCAGATGGTAATAGTTCATCACCCAGCCACACTTCATCGCAGCCTAGTGCTCCCCAGACCCCCAAGTCACCACAAGGTTCTACCACATGGGAAGGAGACAAGGACTTGGTGAGACAGATCTTGTTCACTAAAAGCACATTTAGATCTGAGAGGGGAAAAAAGCCTAAATTTTATCATATCTATTTTTGGCTAGGATAATGAAGAGGAAGAAGAGGAGCCCTGTGTAATCTGTCATGAAAATTTGTCTCCAGAAAACTTTTCTGTTTTACCTTGTGCTCACAAATCCCACTCTCAGGTAAACAATTAAGCTTGTCCTGTTAATATTTTAGCATTAGTCAGCTAAGCAAGCTTACTGCCTTGCTTACAAGGTGTATCAGCATCCAGTCTCATTTCACAGCCCCACTGGCCATCACTGCACTTCCTTCTCTGAGTGCCATACAGAACGTTTACATCTCTCACTGTATGCAGTCATGGCTGTACTACTGTTTTCAGGAGGACAGCCTGGAGATTTAAATGGTATACAGTATACAGTTCCCTTGAGCAAACTAGGAGAAATATTCATTGATAAAGCAATTGAGAGACAGGACTAGTAACAAGGAAGTGACATTTTACCTTACTGTAAATTCTACAGTGTCTATTATCCATATGTAATAATGGCCCCTCGCATTTTAAAACTGACTTGTTTTAGTAATCTAACCTCTTGTGTTTATGTTTGAAGACTCTGAGACCTGGATTAATGTTAGAAAAATGTGAGGCCGACATATCTTTTGTGTTCTTGCTATGTATATGGATTAACTCCTGGTGTTGCTGCTGTGTAACTGTTACTGATTACAATGTATGGTCCAAATCCTCTGGGGAAAAATGTGATTCAACAACAGAAAAGATAATCTTAGACAAGAAGTGTTTTTCTCGGAGAAGTAAACAATTGCCTGATTTTTCCAACCATGTTATAAAGATAAAATATGTGGTACAAAATTATGTGTGTTGTCTGCTTTGATCTGAAGAGGTTTGAAAAATTGTTAATCCCATAAAGTCTCCAAAATGACACTTAGCCACCCAGTTTTTCCATTTTGAAAGGTTAATGTGTGAATATTTTACAATAAGAATGTTTGTCAAAACTTACTTGCATTGCCCAGTGAAAAGGAAATATATAATTCATTCAGTTTACTCTTCAAGGTTAGTTATTAGACATCAAATATAGTCCCTACACTTTTAATCCTGTTATCTGATTTGCCTCTCCATTATTCAAACATCAAAAATACCTAGTTTTAGAGTCAATACATACCAAAATATAACAAATACTTCACAGTTCAGGATTACTGTTTCACTGCAGAAAACAATCTGACTGTTCTTCCAGGGGGGTTCAGCTTTAGAGCCCCATCAAGGAATTGGTAATTTTCATATGCCTAGTTGTTATTTATTTAGTTAATTATAAGTGAAAAAAATGTAAATAAAATCAACCAAAGAGTAAACAGCAAGCTTCTCCAATATCCTTGTAGAACTCTTAGTCATTTTTTAAAATAGGGGAAAACCAAATTTGAGCCAAATAGACTGGCTTAAAAATACTCTGCCATTGCCATGGATAGCTTAGCAAACCATAGTTGTAGCAGATGGCTTGGCTTTCAGAACCATCAGAGGAGAAGGCATGTTGGTTGGTGACTGATGTGTAGAGTGGAAGCTGCCTTTGCTAGGCTAAATTCGAAACTCTGACTTAATCATTTTGCTCCTTAGTGCATTAGACCATGGTTGATACAACAGGGGACATGCCCCAACTGCAGACTCCATATTTTGCTACCAGAAGAATTCCCTGGCCACCCCAACAGGCAGTTAACCAAGATCTGATGCAAAGCAGGTAGCTATACCTAAGATCAGTTTTAGACATTGGAATTTAATTCAGCCTTTTAATGAGATAATTGTTGGAATAGTAATATGCAACATGTCCCTTGGCTTCATGCTAATAGACCAGCTAATCACACCAGAGCTGAGCCGGAGATTAAGACAGATCTAAAGCACTTGTAAATTAAATGGAAGGGACTTAAAGAAGGTGGGATTTGATAGTTGCATTTTATGGCTCTTCATAACATTTTCCATCTGTAAACACAAGACCTGTACAGATGACTAATACTATATTTCTTAAAATATCCTGTCTTTTTTTCTTTTTTTAATTTATTTATTTCTTTATTAATTAATTAAAGATTTCTGTCTCTTACCCACCGCCGTCTCCCCTTTTCCTCCCCCTCCCCCTATCTATTTTCCCTCCCTCTTCAGTCCAAAGAGCAATCAGGGTTCCCTGCCCTGTGGGAAGTCCAAGGACCACCCACCTCCATCCAGGTCTAATAAGGTGAGCATCCAAACTGCCTAGGCTCCCACAAAACCAATAGGTGCAGTAGGATCAAAAACCCATTGCCATTGTTCTTGGGGTCTCAGTTTTTTTTTCTTCTTACTCTGTTTTTCTTTATTTTCTTTCAAATATGGTACATTTTAATTTCCTGAAATAAGTTTAGGAGAAAAAGCAAGAAACATTCTATAGATTTTAGTTTTCTTTTTAACTTTGAAAGCTCGAGGTTAAAAATATAACTATTATAAGTTATATTTCTATCTCAATTGTTCTTTCTATCTTCTGAAATAACTACCTTTGATGAGATTATGGATTCCTTGACACTGGTGACCATGCAATGGTTCATAATAGCCTGTGATAGATGATTGTTTCAGACATGACAGGACCAGTTTGTTAACTTGTTTGTGCCATGAAATCTCACAATAATTACACTATAAAAACTACAACTGATTTGTATTTCCAAGCCGGGCAGTGGTGGCACACGCCTTTAATCCCAGCACTGGGGAGGCAGAGGCAGGCGGATCTCTGCGAGTTCGAGGCCAGCCTGGTCTACAAGAGCTAGTTCCAGGACAGGCACCAAAAACTACAGAGAAACCCTGTCTCGAAAATCAAAAAAAAAAAAAAAAAAAGATTTGTATTTCCCTCAAAAGCTAGTTCTTAATATCACACCACAAGATGCCTATATCCCCAATATTTAGTGCCACAAATACAGAATGAAGTTAGAATTAGAAACCAAGAGCTAGTAAAGGAGCCAGATAATGCAAGTTAAGTCATTTACTGAGATAACTGAGATCTTACATTACTTTGTAAACATATTCCTTGGCTCTTAATCATTTGCATTTTGTAAAGACTTTTTTTTCCTACTTTAAGGATGTCTACTTTTGTGGAACCCTCACCCCTTATTCTCAAAGGGACTAGAATTTCCTAGCAGAATGTTTTCCCAGGAAGATAGTGGCCTTCCCCTCTCCCACCCGAGAGATTCCGAGCACAAGGTCACTTAGCCCAGCCAGTCAGCTACCTGGTACAGGCTGATAAAGATGGCCTGACTCAGGAATGGCCTTGCTCTAAAAACAAGGAGAAAGCTGACTTAGCAGGATGGGAAGGAGCAAAAGTCCTTGCACCCTTGCCAAAGCACCTTCTCAAAGCCTCTTTGTAGTTATACCTTTAAAAGCCTACCCCACAGAGGAGATACAAGCTGGAGATGAGATCCAAACATGTTTGTATTGTGCTGATTAAACCTTGCTTATTACAGTCTGGGCCTCTCTGTGTGGTCTCTCTCTGGGGGTCATAATCTGGGCACAACACTTTCATGTAACTGTTGTGGGAAAGAGAAGACATCGTTTATATGTACTTGCTGCTGCTTGCAACAAAGTTCATATCCGGTAGACCAATTGCCTGTCTGAAGCTTGTCACTGAGAGTTTCCATTCCTAGACAACAAAGCCTATTTTAAAGTAGTGTGAATGCTGTAAGTGGTGTACATGCCTGTACTTTCAAACTTAATCCATAGTTCCCTTGTGAGACACTTATCCTTGGCTCATATTCATAATCTCAATTTCATTAATTTTGATAGGAAAAGGTTTTTTTTGACTCAGCAACTATTTTTTGTGTGTATTTCAGTGTAAATATATTTTGAAGTTACTGTGAATCTCTATTTAAAAATTCTATTCCTGTAATTGTATGCTAAACTTCTTTTCCTATTTCGAAAATAAACTGAAAGATGTGAAGAAAAATATTTTTTAAATGTCAGCTTTTGTGTGGATGAGGTGATTCACCAGGTGAAGGCTGCCCGTTGCCAAGCCTGATGACCTGAGTTCTGTTCCTGGGATGCACATGGTGAAAAGAAGAACTGCCAGTCCTTCCAGTTTTCCTCTGACCTCCACATGTACAGTGTGGCTTGTGTGTGCACACACACACACACTACACTCAGATGCATGGAGAGAAAGGGAGGGAGGGAGGGAGGGAGGGAGGGAGGGAGGGAGGGAGGGAGGAAAGAGGGAAGAATATTTTTTAAGTATGCCATTTGTCCATATATAAAGTACTAATACTGTGTTGGAGTTTCAGTATCTAGAACTTATGGGACATTCAATCATCAGTAATGTAGCAGATTGATTACCTTGTAAGACAAGTCATGCTTACAATTTGTTTATTAGTTCATGTTTATAATTGTAATTTCATTTTCAGTGGAAAATAAATGTATTTCTGAATTGAACAACTGTTTTTTATGTATTCATCTTAAATGTATACAAAAATATTTTTATTTCAAATGCCTATCTCTGTTGAGTTGTACTAAAATCTTTCTTCTGTTTTGAGAAAATAACAGGAAAATATCTAAGTTGTTAGTCATCTCATCTTTTGAAATGCCAAGGATGTCTTGGGGTCTTAGAATACAGAAGTTGGGGATTCATTGAGTTTCTTATCTGTCTCTGGCAGGTGTTTCTTGCCCAAAGCCATGTGGCTGTGTAGTAGGTAAGCCTCCTGGTACTGATGGGTCCTGATACTCTGCCACGTGTCTCCTTTTCTGGCTCCTGTGCTAGAGTGATAGTGGTGATGAGTGTTTGTTGCAAAGCCTGATGCCTTGAGTTCTATCCCTGGAAAGGAAAGAACTACTAGTCCTGCAGCTTGTCCTCTGATCTCACGTGCAGTGTGGCTTGTGAGTGCATAAGTCATTCTTGGCTTCAAGTAAGGAGCCAGAAGACTTAACACAATCACTGGTATATAGTGAGAATGTAGAAGTTTAATACCCCACAAAGTCATGTCTAGTTCTACAGATGTGAAGGTAATGGAGCTATAAAATTGTTGATATACAGTTGTGTTCACTGCCATGCTTTCTTCTGAGGAATGATTTTACCATGCGCAGGAAACCAGCTAATGACCAACAAGCTCCTAGCATGGCAGGATTTGTATCAAAAATATTTTGGGCTTACTACCCAAGCATGAGGTCCTGAGTTCAAACCCAGACACCCTCAAAAAATAATCTGGCATGCCTTTACATACTCTAACAAGAAGGTGGAGACAGAAAGATGCTAGGAGCTTGCTGACAAGCTAGCCTACCCAGTGGAGATCTTATCTCAAGGGAATATGGTGGGGAGAGGGAGAACATGAGACCTAGAGCCTTCTTTTGACCTCTGGACATGTGCACAAGTGCACTCACCTCCGTATGTATATACATAAACATACCATTTTAAAAGTAATAAAATATCTGAAAGTATCTAATAATCTACTACAGCTTCTGCCTTGTGCTCTATGCCTTTCTGTTAATTTTTTATGCATATACTATTTTACAGCTTTTATAGGATACCTTCAGGTGTGTTTGGTACTTTGTTTGATATATATGTAGTATATATTACTATGATTTATTTACAGATGATGAATCTCAAGACTCTGATAAGGGGGAAATAATTTGTTTAAGGTGACAGTTACAAATGGGATATAGTAGCATTTGCTGGGATTGTATTACAGGTGGTCCCCAATTGGTGTATCTACTAGTTGACATCTGCATCCATTTTTGGATTTACTTTGTACATAACAAAAGTAGCACTTAATACTTCTTAAGTAGTTCTCTTCCAATTAAACGGGATAAACCCAGTATGCTGACCGTATTCTACTACGGCTACATTATTGGTGTATAAAATATAAAGATATGGTAGTGATATAGCGATATGACATGGTGGCAAGAGTTTGACTTCTCCCTGTTGTTTAAGATGATTCCAGTTATTGAAAATTATCTTGACTTAATTATTAATACTACTTTTTTTTCCTTAGTCTTTTACAGTTTAAAAAATGAGAGTTAAATTCTGTGGTTCAGGAAGGCATATTTGGCTTTTAAATTTGTCAAGTATGCCATTACATTTTTAAGATATTCCTAAATAATGTATTTGCCTTTCAGATATGAATTATATAATTGGAAAAGCTTAGTGTACTACTTTGGTTTATAGCCAAATAAAAACAATAGCCAGATAAAAACAATAAATAAGCATGATTTTCTTGCGTAGGTACTAGTTGTATAGACTAGAAGGTGCAGGTTGTCAGAGCCAGTCCTAGACTGCCATCGTGGTAGCGTATTTATATAAATGCATATTCCAAGCAGCGGTCTGGGAATATGCCACATTAGTGAATATTATAGATGGGTGGTTTAGTGCACATTTTGGAAGCTATTGGAATAGTAGAGTTTGGTTTTCTTGAGTAAGTCTAGGTTTGAATTTTTTTAATATTTTTATGTGTATGTGTGTGCATGTATGTGTACCATCTGAGTGGCTCTATGTGTCAGAGAAGGGTGTCGGATCCTGTGAAACTGGATTTATAGGTGGTTGTGGCCCACTATGTGGGTGTAGTGAATGGAACGTTGGTCTTCTGCAAAAACAATAAGTACATCCAACTATTGAGCTTTCTCTCTAGCCCCATAAATTTAGATTTTTTTTTAATTCCCAGAAACATGGTGTAATAAGTAAAAATTTTCCTAACTTCTCAGTTGCCTCGTTTTCTAGAATATATCAACAACAAAACAACCACCTGCCTGAGAGCTATCATATTAAAGGAGCATTTATTTGTTTTCTCTCCCAAAATAGCAAACTTCATGTGACTTATTTAACCTGTTTAAATTTACTTTTGATGGCAGAATGTATTTTTTTATTGATCTACCCTTGATAAGTTGAAGAGGCCAGAGAGTATAGCCACTAGTACTACTTCTAAGTTTACAAAACTCCAAATACTGTCTCACCCTTATTATCTTTGTTTGATGTATTTGAACTACATGAACTGTAGTGTACCTGGATACTACCTCATAAGGCTGTGAACAGTCAGCAGTGATAAAGTACGCAGTGATGTGTTTCATTGTGACATTTTCATATATTTGTATCATTTTGCTTTGCTTATTTTTCCTGCCATTGTAGAAGTTATTACTCTTCCTTTAGATCAGTGTTTCTCAACCTTCCCAATGCCGTGACCCTTAAATACAACTTGCTTTTGTTGTAGTGACCCCCAACCATAAAATTATTTCAGTGCTACTTCATAACTGTAATTTTACTACTGTTATGAATCATAATTAAATATTTTTGTTGATAGAGGTTTGCCAAAGGCATCACAACCCACAGGTTGAAAATTGTTGATTTAGATGTCAAGGACACTGATTTGCTGAGGTCACACAGCTCATAAATAGAGTCATGACTCCAAGCTATAATTTTCCACCACGATCAGTGTTATTCTCTCCATATTATGCCTGCTTTTTGACAGAGGAAGTGGAGCAGGTATAGGAAGAAGGAAGGAGAGGATAGGAAAAGAGGACAAAAGAAAGAAGGAATGAATTGTGGGAGAAAGAAATAGAAAAAAAAGGAAACTGAGGAAGCTGAATACTTAGGAGTTATGAAGTTATTTTTTCAGTCAAGATAGAAACAAAACAAGATTAGGATAGTCTTACAAGGTGACAGTATCTCACTTGAGAATAAAGTCAGACATGCATATTTTAACATCAAGGTTGATGATTCCTGGTCAGTGTTTTAAAAGGATAAGGGCATGTGTTTTACCTTTTAAATTTCTAATGCCATGTTGGTAGTTGTTTAAAACAGGTCTCAGAGGTCACATCCTTTTTTTAGGGCCATGAAGTTTAACAGCCACTGCTGTGGTTTTAGTAGCATAGTTAAATGTGCTCTGTCCACTCAGAGGAAATAGCAATGTTGAAGAAGCTGGTGCTAGGGACCTGTAGTTTTCTCTAAGAGCTGTTTCTAAGCAATAAAGATATGTTTACATTATTTTAATTCAAGGAAGAATTCCTTTCAACCCCAAGGGCATGAGACAAAGCCATACCTCAGCAACTGAAGGTGAAGTGTTTTCATTTTATTTAAGAAACCTGAACTATTTAATAAATTATAATCACATTTACAGTATTATCAGATCATTACAATAAAAAGATAAATGGAAGTTTAAGGCCATCATTTGTTAGCGATGTATATATATAATTTATTTGTTAAATTTGTTTAAGTTAAGATATAATTACATCATTTTCTCCATTCTCTTTATTACACCCAACCCATATATTCCCTCTCCCTCAAATTTAGGGTCTCTTTTTCTTTAATTCTTTTTAAATGTGTTTGTACTCACACACACTTTCGTGAATATATAATAAATACAGCAGGTTCAATCACATGATATTACTTGCACTTAATAGTTTTCAGGCCCACCTGGTATGAGGTAACCAGTTGGAAGGCTCTTACCTGAAGACGACTGTATTTCCTACTCAGCCTTCCACAGTTGCCTGTAGTTTTTTGTCTAGGGTTTGGATCCCTGTGGATTTCCTATTTCCTGTGTTAACAAGTCTCCTGATGTTGTCCTTCAGGTTCTTTGTTTTGTTTTTGTTTGCTTGTTGTTTTGGGTTGAGACAATACCTTGTTGCCTGGCTCAGGCTGGTCTTGAATTCATAGGCTTAGTGATTGATTCTCTTGCTTCCTTTGTGGCTGAGATTACAGTTGTATACCACCAAGCATGGCAGTGTGTTCCCTAAGGGCGAAGCCTCACATCTGCCTTCTGCCTCCCTCTTCTCTTTACCCATCAAAGGCATACTGGTCACATCAGCAGCATACCTGAGTGATATTTTACACATGGTTCTTGAACTGATGAACCTGAGAACAAGGATCTCAGCTCTTAGGGATAATTCACAGCATGCATTCTGTGCCACATAAATCACAAGATTGCACGTGCTTAAATAGGCCTTACAGTCTGTGCCAGTCAACCTCATGGAAA